ATTGAAAAAAATACAAAGTTAATCATAAGTCCATACATCCATGTACGACATATGTTCTCATAGAGACTTTGGCTCCGCATGGTAATGTTATCATAGTCTCACCAGCAACATGATAACCTAGCATAACACTATCCCATCGCTTCCCGTGGATGTGGAAAAAGATAACCAAGAGATTCACCGGAGCGTGGCGTTCTCTATTATACCAGCATACTCAGTCCCCGACTGACACTTTTTTTTTATTGCTTAGATGTGTTAAGTGGTTACTGGAGCCCATAGACATCCACAACGCAAATGCGGTACCCACCTTGAGATATAAATTCTAAGATCTCAGTATAGTTACAACGGCTGCCCCACCCTTCAAACAGAAACGCATAACTGCTTCACGGCAGAAATAGGCGGGGTGCTGGTACCTACCCGTGCGGACTCACAAGAGGTCCTACCACCAGCAAAAATTATTGGTTGGAGGGTCTTAGCAACTAGTATAGTTGCAAATGGAAAAAAAATGAAAGAGAAATTTTATTTATTTATACAAACTATGCTTGAGATGAAATGTGTTTGTGTTTATCTGGGTCTAGGCCGTGTCTTCTTCCGAGATCATGACACAATCTAATGTGTCAAATTAGACGTCATTGTGTTATAATGCAGCGTGTTGTCCTCAGGAGTGCCTGAGCGACAATGCGTATTGTGTTTGACGGATTCGTCAAAAACGACCTTGCTCCACTAATGATTCGACATGGCATTGTGTTATTGATGCGGTCCCAATTAGTCGAATTAATGCACTTGTGATGAAATGTTACATTTATTGTGTAAAATCACAAACAATTTGTTTAAGTGTTAGTTGTAACGATGGGATTATGATGGAACTTTTTTGGCATGGCTCGAAGGACCATTCTTTGTTACACCTGGCGTTGAGTGGTTCCATTGGCGTTAATAACACGAACTACGTCGACAATTTCGCGATATCTACATATCGATTGTATTATTTAATAGTCACCTTTCAAAACGCAAGACATCTTGGCGGCAAAGATAGGCAGGGGGCACCTACCCATGTGAGCTTACGATTTTTACCTTATCACCAGAGTTTACCAATTTAAAATAATATACACGGATATTATTATAAATTTTGGATTATTATTATTATTACAAGTTTTTGTCACACGCCGTTATTCCTTCATACCGGAAGTTACTCTTAAATGCGAATACGCTTATCTCATATTTTATTATTATTTATGAAGCTTTAGATTAACAACGGCTTCAACAAATTTGTCCGACATTCCAAACATTTTCTTAATAAAAAATACGATAATATTCATTCATCATGTTCATTCGGTATTTAGCTTATACCAGGAAAAAAATTAACTTACTTTCTTTTATACCAAATCTAATCAAAATCTAAACTTCTCTATCTAACTTAAAAATAGGTAGCGTGCAATACAAACTTAAACTTCTGGGCAATGGGTATGGGTTTCAATGCTCATGACCCGATAATTTGAATAAGGTTTCATAATCAAATAACTGTTCCCCTGGTGTCTTAAAAACATTCGTTCGATTCAGTAGTACGATGATTTAGTTCCCTACCTATTCACTGGTAGCTAGAGGCTATTCCATCTTATATTCCATCTTCTCGCGGACGGGCCGATGAGCTCGCGGGCTCAATCTGAGAGAATTTGCCAACACTAGCTATAGCTAGGGCAGTGCTCCGTAGAATCTACCACCGGAAAGTAATCGTGACCCACTGAGAAGATCCGGCGAGAAGATCCGGGTTAGAAGCTCGGTGGGTTAGTTCAATGAATTTCAATTTCATAACCTCTTCCTTTATATTTATCATCGTTTTTTAATGGAGAAGTAATCCTCGCCCAGTAACGTTTTGTATGACACAATTCCTTTTCCGTTTAGGGCACTTAAATAGCAAGGAATCGACATTTTCATTAATAAGGCAACCATAGTTACACGACTGTGACGTATTAAGCCAGCCGCCGGATCTAAAATGTCCTAGTTCGGAATACCATTAAAAGGGCAGTATTTGGTATGCGTCAGACGCTAGTAAGCTAAATACATAGTTTCGAAACATTACCGCTACAAATAAATATGAAGTGTTCTTGGTACAGGATTAGATTATCCAGGGTGACGGCTTCTAAAACGGCTATCGACTTTCATCATAACATTAAAAAAAGCAATATTCTTTTAATAATCAACAGCCTAAATATATTATTATGTCAATCAATATGTGAACATATCATGAAACATTAGCTCAAAGGCTCAAAGCAATAATAATGATTGACAGACGTCGCTACCGCTACGAAGTATCAACTCGCGTCATCTGATTTTCATTTAGGTGCGTGAAGTTCTCATGTCTGTTATATCGTCGGTAATCGATCAAGCAGTTCTTTCGCTTGGCGCTGCGCAGATATACCTACTTTAACGACTTACCTACAATATTGTGGCTGGACTCCGCACCTTTTTCCGTATGTGACGTAAAGGCAACTAAGGAATTCTTGGGAGAATAAGCAGCGGTGTTCTTTGGGTGTTACACTAGCGTATTACAATCGCCAGCCAATTTTTATTGGTGACTAGTTTTTGTCCGCGACTTCGTCCGCGTGGAATATCTATTTTGGGATAATGCCAAAATGTTACCTTTATTTACGTAAAAGGTGAAAACATTTTTGAATAATCGAATGTTACGGAGCTATTTAAGGTACAACATCACGCTTTTCAAAAGAGGATGCTATCAATTCGACCACCATTTTTTATCTACGTCAGTTGACCGATTTCTCGACAATGCTTGAACCGATACTGATAATTCTTTTTTTTTTGTTCGAAAGGATAGACTTTCCGAATGGCCCTGTAATATTAATCAGGATCACGATCTGATGATGGGATTCTGGAAAAATCGGGAAAAATCAAAAAATTTCAAAGCCTATCTTGAAGTGATTCGGGTGTTTCTTGTTATTCTTCTTATTCTGTGCCGCCGCGCACCGGCCGGCTGGCGTCTTGTATTCATTAATTATTACACGCATGATCATTATTTTGCTGCGATGTTATTTTAAAACTGCGATATCTCCTAAGATACTCATTGAAATCAAATGATGTAAAGGGCAAATTTTGTTTAAATTAAATACTAATAATGAATACCGTATTTATTTGGATAAGGAGTAAAAGCATCTTTATAAAAACACCTTCACAAATAATGTTTTATTTTAGAACAAATTTGATTAGCATAAAAAAAGGGTTATTATAGTGAGTCAATCTTAAAATATAGGAATATGCAGTGGCGAACATTTGTTAAGTACGTATTTCATTAGAAAAATTGGTACCCGCCTGTGGGATTCGAACACCGGTGCATCTCTATATGCGAATGCACTGGACGTCTTATGCTTTAGGCCACGACGACACTCTCATTCATTCTCTATTAGTGTTCCGCTCGTATTAGTATTCATGTGATGTTATATAGCCTATAACCTTCCTCAATAAATGAGCTATCTAACACTGAAAGAATATTAGCAGCAGAAGAATATCATCAGCTTTATAATATTAAGTATAAATGGGATGTATTGTAAGATTTCGGACGCGAAGCAAACGTGCGCTCTAGTTTGAAGGATGGTACAACTCTTATGCAATATACTTGAGACATCTATCTCTTGGTTCGGCCTTAATGTGTACATGTACAGTTATAAAAACCTTATTAGAACAAACTTAACGCGGCTACCATTGCGAACCGAAATCAAACGAAGTCAAAATGAACCTTAACAGCCATACTTAAAGATCAAATCGCACTGTTTTCTATTTGCCAATCGGCATAGACCTAGAGACAATAAATTCACGATGCGTAAACGAAAGTTTCTTACGTCTAATCCGATTTGACTGCGGAATTAAGTAACGATTCCCACGATATAGAAAGTTTACTTTTGACCCATTCGTATGTTCTGTATGTTTTTGTATGTATACTCTAGTGTAATAAATTACTAAAATTGGTAACTTAAATTCGAAATAATTTTACATAATAGATAACTGGGAACAGATCACACACGGCATCAAATTAGGATGCCCTATTTTATGAATATCAAAGACTGACGTACATACTTATATACATTTGCGCTAACTACCGCACCATGTACCGAGCCACTTACAATAATAATAGTTTGTGCATCACAATGTAGATTAAGGTGTGTGAGCTTTCTTATTGCGTGAATAGGCAGTTGTGTTTAAGACCTGATTTTCGGACCGGAAAGTGTGACTGTTTTGCGACAGAATAATGGTTTGTTCCCGTGTAAACTCGCAATATGCCTTATCGCTAGAAATTACGTGATTTTTAGAAGGAATTACTTATCGCATGTTATGTTTTCGGGCTGAGGGACGAGGCCGTAAAAGTGTAGCATAAAAAATAATGACACCTTTTTGCAACGAAGTTCCTTATGGGACGATGCGGAGGGGTACCCTAACCGGGAAAAAACGTCCGTAACGTAAGATTTTTATTAGTAATGCACACAGTGTACGACTTAACTTTGTAATAACGTACAAAAAATAACATATTTTTTTTATCATTCATTGACCACGATCTCAGAGCGTTCGTTTGCGCAATACACTAACTCTTATGCAAACAACCGTGAATGAAGTGTACCACAATAAGTTCGCACGTTACCGAATGACCGTGGGTTGTTGCGAAACCTCCAGTTTAATTTTTTTTATACCTCGAATAGAACTTAAAATTAATATTTTTATAATAAGGAACCTGGTTCCTATCCGGTGTCCCACGACACCACACCACTTTTTTTATCCTTTGAGTGTCATCGACCCTTGATGCTATGCAAATTTTTAAGTTGATCGGACGTTTTGAAGTCTCTGAAGACGACGTTGAAAGATTCCTTTACAGGTCAGATAAAGCAACGTACGTACATGCATACCGAGCTACATGCGTTACATTCAAACAAACATACCAAGCTAATAACAGGGTATTAAAAATGTCTAAGATCGAACTTTATTTGTATATGTTTTATTTTCAGTTAATATGGACTTTAGCTCGCGGCGGAGACGGATACAGCTGCCCATACGGACAACACTGCGCCTTCGAGCCTGCGCCCCCCGGGCGGAATCCGCCTTGTGCCCAACCAGGCCTCACATACTGTTTACATCCGGAACCATATCCTGAGTATGTTTTTTTTTATTCCTACTTTTTTTTATTGCTTAAATGGGTGGACGAGCTCACAGCCCACCTGGTGTTAAGTGGTTACTGGAGCCCATATACATCTACAACGTAAATGCGCCACCCACCTTGAGATATAAGTTCTAAGGTCTCAAGTATAGTTACAACAGCTGCCCCGCCCTTCAAACCGAAACGCATTATTGCTTTACGGCAGAAATAGGCGGGGTGGTGGTACTTATCCGCGCAGACTCACAAGAGGTCCTACCACCAGTAGATTGTAATCTTATTTGTTAAGCTTAAAGGTCTATTTTGATTACGCGTGGACGGGTAGGTGAGCTCACGGGGTTCAGCTTGGGAGGTCTTACTAACACTAGCTCTAGCAAGAGCAACGCTTTGCTGAATCTACTACCGGACCGGAATCGTAACCCACTGAGGAGATTAATGAATATGTTAATGACTAAAATAATATATGTAGTTTAAAAATTAAATAACTTACTGGTGGTAGGACCTCTTGTGAGTCCGCACGGTTAGGTACCACCACTCCGCCTATTTCTGCCGTGAAGCATTAATGCGTTTCGGTTTGAAGGGCGGGGCAGCCGTTTAACTATACTGAGACTTTAGAACTCATATCTCAAGGTGGATGGTGGCATTTACGCTGTAAATGTCTATGGGCTCCAGTACCTACTTAACACCAGGTGGACTGTAAGCTCGTCCAGTCATCTAAGAGAAAAAAAAGAAAAAAATACATGTCTAACGCAAAAAATCTTTTTTTCTGATTACGAAATACAAACCTCATTACCCCCTCGTACCATCAATTGAGTAAAAATTACAATTCGAATCCATAAAAAAAACGAATATCGTAAACAAAAAAATATTTTCGTTTCCCAGGAAAGTAATCCGACAGCTAATAGACGCAGGCCAGTACGACATCCGGACGTTATTATCGGACGAGAGTCGCGACGAATTCGCGACGACAAAAAAACCGGACTACCCCTACGAGTACGGACCTAACTCGTTGCCGCACGTCGACCACATCTCCCTAGTTAACGAATACCCAAAAAACTACAACACCAAGTTTCACACCCGATACAACCATGGTGAGTTACGGATTTCTTGTAAAACTATCAACAGCGCCATTGCTGGCCGACATTCAACGGCGGATCCAGGGGGGGGGTCATGGGGGTCATGACCCCCCCCTGAGCTAGTTCCAGGACTTGAACTAACTTGGACTAATTGAAGAACATCATGACTTATTTATTATCTATTGTTATCAAAATTAAATTATAAGTTCTTAATTTGCCCACGACTATGTGACCCCCTCCTGGCGCCAAAGCTGGATCCGCCCTTGCCGACATTAGACGTGACTTTAAAGCTATCGCTACTAAACTGCACAGAATTACCCAGATCCAGCATATTTTGTATATCACAGCGAATATAGGTACGTAAACACATTGGATTTTGTTGTTTTAATTACTGTAATAAAGTGAATCAAAGAAAACAACTTTTATGATATTAATGTGTGCGCGTGTGTGCTCTGAGTAGGTATTTTATTCAGCGTTTTAGCTATAATATTTAAATGAGTTCACAGTTCATCTGTGCGCTTAGTACGAGTTTTTTAAACGTTTTCGATAGCGTTAAAGTTAACTAAGATTTGTATGAAGTTGGAATGTTTGCCTGTGTTTGCCGCTAGGGGCGCTGTTCCAACTGCATTTTGAGTTAGCTTTTACGCTATATCGTTAAAAATCTCGCACTAAGCACACTGGTGTCAAATGCTTACCTTAGCCTATAAGTACATATTATCACAACGGAAATGTCGCCACCCACCTTCAGACACGATGGTCAGTGTTTCTATGTTAATGTACAAACGCTATTATCCCCTTTTCTCTGGAAAACGCATGATTGGAAGATCTACTCTTCATAATTCCCTATAAATCACTGAATATAAATTCATGTTGGCAGTCATTACATTTCAAATGCCAATCATAATTCCCTTCTAACCAAAAGCTCACAAATGTCTTACAGATATATTCTCCCAGAAGACACCACTGCAGCCGCCGACTTCCAACGACCCGTCACCGTACAACTTAAACACGTTTCAATCGGCGAATTTCTCCAAGTTCGGTTTCCATGGACATTCTCCGAGCGCTCACTGGAGCCACGGTGGGAATATCTATGACGACTATAACAAGAAAATATTCAGACAGAACTCACCCGCGGACCTCGGCTACAATAATTTCTTTGAGGGTCAAAATTTTTATCCAAACTACGAAACCGATGAGTGGTTCAGACAAGCCTCCGGCGCCGTGACGCGGTATAACCCAAACGAGTGGTGGAAGTAAGCTATTATTGTTAATATCTCTAGAAATTTTAATATTTTTGAGCGCAGATTAATTTTGTGTGTGATTCAAATTTATATAAGGAGTTTGCATGTCGTTACAGTCGTAAAAGTGTCAAAAAACCCACTGAATCCTATTAAACCTCATGGAACTTGAAATCTTTAATAAGTGCGCTGTGACATGTAGGTAGGCAGCGACTTGCTTCTGCCCCTGGCATTGCTGAAGTACATGGGCGATGGTAACCAGTCACCATCAGGTGGGCCGTATGCTCATCTGCCTATAAGGGCAATAAAAAAAAAGCTTTTTAAAATCTTCCTGCATTTAATTTACCATGTTTAATTCAGATTGTTAAATTAGCGATGAGTTAAATTGCCCACTGAGTTTCTCGCCGGATCTTCTCAGTGGGTCGCGATTCCGTTCGGTGGTAGACTCTGCGAAGTACCGCTCTTGCTAGGGCTAGTGTTAGCAAATTCTCTCAGGTTGAGCCCGTGAGCTCACCTACCCGTCCGGTCGTAGCTATAATAGCCCCATTAGGCTACCTGCGAATAACAAGAAAAAAAAGAATTAGTTAAATTAATATTATTGGAATTCTTTTTACCAAATCGTAGTATCGATCGTACCATGACCGTGATGGATTTAGGCTTGATGCCGCCCTAAATGCTTTTTTTTATAAAAATTAATCTAAACTGAGACTGTCTTTACTATTTTTGTCTCTGTAATTTTGGCATTTTAAAAATCTTGCTTAGATGGGTGGAAGAGCTCACAGCCCACCTGGTCTTAAGTGGTTACTGGAGCTCATAGACATCTACAACGTAAATACGCCACCCACCTTGAGATATAAGTTCTAAGATCTCAGTATAATTACAACGGCTGTTCCGCCCTTCAAAACGAAACCCATTACTGCTCCACGGCAGAAATAGGCAGGGTGGTGATACCTACCCGCGTGGACTCACAAGAGGTCCTACCACCAGTAAATACATCATTGTAGGCGACACTGTCTTTTCTAGATACGTCTCACCGTCGTCTCGCGCTGATGTGACTGTGGAACGCTCCGTGACGTTTCCGACCAGGACCACGACCCTCAAGAAGCGGAGGAAGAGGAACGCTGATCTCGTCAAAGCTGCTGCCAAGAAACCTCTAACCGGCACCGAAGCATTGAGAATTGCTCTAGGATTGGCTAGGTATGGGGCTTGAATGAATGTTTCAACAGCGAAAAAATTGCGTATTTAGTATTGTTGTGCAGGATTCCGTTCTTTAGACATTTAGATATCGCACCTTTAGATCATAGAGACCCAACGCAACAAATGTATTTTTTGGAAAACATCGAATAAAGTTTTCAAATCGTAAAGACGTAGACGAAGGGGACGGAGTGAAAGAGACAAATGGACCCTTTATAAGCTAGTTTTGGTCGTATGATTAATATGTCTCCGAAAAGGGTCGTTCCAGGTCCATTTCTTAATTAAAGACGAAATTTAAAAAAATCGAATTGGGTCTCTATAATTCTTTACGTACGATATTTTAATTTAAATTTTCAAAAGGAGAGTTTATATCGCTAATACTAATCATAGATAATAATTCGAAATTTAAAAAAGAAGTACTTATAAACACTTCGAAACTGAAATGATAGTATGTATAACTAATGATGTATTTTGCTCTATAATGTTGAATGAACAGCGCAGAGACATCTGCCGAGCGACCGCGAAGACAGGCTGTAAATGCTCAAGAACTCTGCAGCGTGCGTACAGAGTACATCACACCTCGAGCAGCTCTCAACAACAAAGGGAGCTGGAAATACGTAGTTAACATGCCTGATAATATGACACAACTAGTACGGGCTGAGATTTGCACGTAGGTTGATTTGATAACATTACATTAAAAACAATCCATTCGAAAGTTGAAATAAGCGCCATCTATTGACAACTTTTGCTAAATATATGACATCTACTGGCGAATAGCTAAATGAAAATAATTTTGAACTAAAATAGGTTTACCAGGGATAAATTATAAATTGTATTCATAATTACAGATCTACAACATGCAGTGGCTTGTGCACGATCCCTTCTGGATACACTTCCCGATGCGAACAAAAATACATTCAAAAACGTCTGGTGGCTCTGCAATCAAGCGGACAGAATTTATACACGGATATATTTTGGATTCCTAGCTGTTGTCAGTGTAGCATTATACCTAATAATTAAATAAACATTCCTACATTACTTGCATTGCTTCAATTGTAAAGATAGACAACGAAAACAAATTGAAAATAGTATTGCTTCCTGACACTAGATGACGCTATTATTTCAATAATTTCACTGCCTTAAATTTAAGTTTATTTTAACTATCCTATTGTCCTACAGGCAAAGTATTATAATTTGTAAATTTAACAAGTTACTATAAGTAAATTTAATTTGTAATTTTCCTTATTCATGTAAATAGTAGCCTAAGTGTTAAAATATATTGCCTACCCTCAAAAGATAAATGTTTCATTTTGACACATTTTTTTAAATCTTATGCCATTAATATTATTAGAAGTACGTTCTGATGGTAGATTATTTTTTCTTTAAATTGACTGTAATGAAGCAATAACGTCATAGCAACCCGCATAACACGCACACTGAATAGAGGCAGGCCTCTTACTTAGTACGGAGCCCGCACTCATCTACGTCATCATCCTGCCTATTATTTCTAAAGCAAAACATTCGCAACTAGTGATAAATCAATAGACTACCCGTGTGCTTACTGCGAGTTTTCTAACGTTCTCGATAGCGTAAAAGTTAACACAAATCTGTATGAAGTTTCAACGTTTGCCTACGTTTGCCGCTAGGGGTGCTTTTTTTTGTGTCAACTGTATAGAGTTAACTTTTACGCTATATTATACAATATGAATACAAAACTACCACAATTAATACTACAAGTTCTACGCTTAAGTACATTATTTATTTATAGAAATTGGGAGAAAAACTCATTACAATTCCACTGTAATTAATTTTCTAAGAGCTATTTCATCTTTGACTTTTCTTATGGCAAGATCATAATGGATTCATTCATTTGTAACATACCATGGTGCGTTCACTATCATCCTGAGCGTTTTTGATTAAATGTTCGTAAATTAAAAATCATTTTTAACTCAACTGTAGAAATCAATAAAACCCTCCTTTACTCATTTATTTTATTAATTTCGTAGTTTATATATCAATTGATCAGTTACAGGTCGATTATTAACTAAAATAAAAACACCTATTTCTGTCGCAACGCATTTTCTCGTTTCGACCCTACTACAAAATTATTGAGAGCTTTTTTTACTCTACCTTAAAAAGTGGACGAGCATTCGGCCTACCTGACGGTGAGTGGTTGCCAATGCCTGTTAACGTTAGCAATTCCAGGGACATTGCTGAGCCGTTGCCTACCACTTAGGAATCTTTAAAACTCGTTTGAAGTAATACTTGTGAAAGCGTCCAAGAAAAGCTTGGAGGAGGAGTTCACTCCAGAAACGGGTGGTACGCGGCAAAAAAGCTCTCTGAAAGCGCACCGGGTAAGAATGCGGATACTCCTAGGCATTACAGATGAAATCTACTCCACTGACAAGACAATAACGGGAGTGCGATGTTAAAATGGATATAATGAGATAATTTCAAAAAATAATTCCATCCATCTTATGTCTCAAGACGGGCCCTGGCTTTCTTTTATTACATATATGGGTAAACAGGCTTAAAGCCCATATGGAGATAAGATTCGTGGTCACAGCTTTGGTAACGGTAACTGGTGCAATATTGAAACATCGACGAACATCACCTTATATACAATTACTTAAAAACTGTAATATTTTCGAAATGTCGGAAATATCCGACTATATACTTTATTATTATAAATTGAACATAACAAATAACATATAGATTAAACCGCTTAAAAAAATGTAAACTATTTGTACGTCTTGCAAAAACCGAATAAATTATTTGATAGTTATATTAGGAATTAAAGCTACGTAAATAAATGCTAAGTAAAAATTAAAGCTACGTTACTATTTACTGTTTACAGTAGACGACGATCACTCACCATCGGGCGGGCCGTATATCCGTCTACAAAGGCAACAAATCTTGTAATCATCTCAGTATGTTATACATAAAGAGACAACAAGTAAGGAACACAAAACTATTTGTTGGTAATATGATAAATGGTAAATGGTTCGAGTAATACAAATGGCAATGAGTCTATTAATCTACTAACTAATCAACATTTGGCTGCAATGAATCGTTTCTTATATTTGACCAGAAACCAATCTATGTAAGTACAATGCTCGGCCATTATTTATCTTAATAATAAGAGTTAAAGATAAATATTCTCCAGCCAGAATTAATATTTGAGTACTCAAATACAACACATGATTCATGAAGATCTCACAGCTCTGCATCGAACATATTTTCCTTCTATTAAGTTAACGAGAGAGTTAGGGTTGGAAACAGCATCTGTAAGGGATGGCCAACCCTTGGGCTCGCACCCTTGGGGCTTCCGAGCCTACCTTAACAAATTTTCCCTTGAAGCTTTACTTGGTTTTCTTCGTCCAAAAGCTCCTTTGATGTTTTCAAAAGAATTACGATTTGAAACGTTGATTTTAGAGCAATTACTGAATATTGTGCAAAAATTATCTTCGTTTCTTGTAATTATTCTGCTAAAGTAAATGTTGTAGTATAATTACGTATTGTCATTTCTAGAATTTGTAAACTCCTTTTGCGTTTTAAGTCCTACGACACTTAAAATAAAAAAATTTGAAAAACACTCAAAGCAATATATTCTGCACAGGTTTTGTCACATTTATAGTCTTATATTTAGTAAGCGAACTTTCGGTTGAAGTATATTATTGGTAAATTTTAATTATAACTACAATTTAACTTTAATTCGAACATTCAAACACCAAGCATTTTTCATTTAAAACCCAAGTTTGGCTGCCTCGTGTAGGTAAATGAAACTTTTTGAAAATATATTATATTTACTATATAGCATGATAAGATGTGATTGAAATGCGTTTTGGAGATTTAAAACATTCACTATCCCTATAGTAATTCGGAAGTCGATGACGTCATCAATTTGTATTATTATTATAAGTAAGTTAAAACTTCTTCATCGAACTTTCAATCAATCCAAATCTAAATGACTTTGTTCACTCCAACTATCCTAATATGAAAGGGAGAGATGCATAACCTTAGTTTTTAACGTAGTGCTACAAACAAAAATAGATTATATAATTCATTAATTTAAGACTAGGTACGGATCAAAAATATCTAATGCACATTTAAGTGCTTAGTGTAAAACTTCACGCAATGACGCCTTAAAATAATATAAAAAAATAAAACTCAAGCAAAAACTCGACACGCGTAAAAGTAAAGAGGAAGCGAGGAAAAAATCAATGCTTGCGTTTTATGTTCTGTGCGTGTGACAGATCGGTCGTCATAGCAACCGCGACGGGGGACAACCGGCGCGCGGAAAAACGACCTAAGTCCGCACAGTTTGCGGACTACGGAACACATCGGCGCGGTAAAGTCGCTGCGGTTGCGCTTAAGCTGTTTTCATCCTGAGAATTCGGAAGTGCGTCGTGCGAAAGAGACAAAATGCCGGGTAAGGGAGCCGGTAATCGATATTACGCACTTTTATAACGACGAAAATTGGCGCCACGATGCACGGGATAAGTTTGCAAGCGTTGCAATACTTTTTATTTAAAATACCAGAAAGTAAACTAAGAACTCTCTGTTATTAAATACTTCATTTAGCAAACGGATTGACTGGTTGCTCGTTTTTCAGTATTTTAAAGTGTTCGAATTTAAATTACAATTACATTGTGAGCACTTCGGTTCTTCGCAATTATATTGGACCTAACTACAATATAATTATAACGGCAGATGGTGAGATCGTGACAAATAGATAATGAGTGAACAGAGCTGAGTAATTTGTGTGGGAGGTGAAATTCTGATGACTCACAGCTCGGGGGTGAACTAGCCCCCAGTTTACTACGCGAATACTATTCTATGAGTTTTCTCGGAACCGTGTGACTAAGTATATTCCTAAAAGTTTTGTAAAAAACATCCATCCCTCTGAATTGGATTCTATCTAGCTCCTACAGATATATTAAGCACGAAACCTATCTATTCAGTTGGAAAATTAAATAAATATAATACATTCAAAAGCTCTGAAGATTAATGTAGAGTCAAACCTGTATGTATGTAGAGTGGTGAAATTATTACTTTTTGCTGTAAAATAGATAGACCAGCCAACGCTCACTTTGTGTCATATTACTGGAGGTTGTAAATGTCACTCCGAGAATGCCACCACCCAGCATGAGACATGAGGTCGACGTCTTAATAATATTTAAAAACTTCACTGAAACGGCGGTCTGTGAGACCAAGCCGAACGAGTTCACAATACGCTAATAACACAAATAAAACATTCCTGAGTCTCTATTATATGTAGTTATCTATGAAAAAATGATATCTACCCGCAAATATTTAAACGGGACATAGATGTGTCTGTCGATGTGAAGATACTGGGCATCATACCCTATGACATAGAGACGTTTTATTACCTCGCACTCTGTTATAATTGATTTCGTGACTCTATGTTTGTAAAATCAATTAATTATCTTGTTCAATAATCGATTATATTTATCCCTATAGATCAGAGTACACTTAGTAGAAAATTGGGACAATATATACGTTCTCGATAGGGCAGTGTTTTACGAGGGGGTCATATGAAAACGAGCGAGTCGAGTGTGGCCGTGGTCGGTGTAGAGCGGGGCTCCTCAGGGCAGGGGCTGGATGTAGCCTGCACGGGGAGCTTACCCTCTTTGCACCTTACGCACTAAACGCAAAACAATCGGAAACACCAACCTGTCGCGAAACGGGGAATATAACGCGCCCCTTTCCGAATACGAACAGAGAAAATAATTCGATTAAGCTTTTCTGGATTTGGGAGTAAATCTTAGGAAAGGTGTACTTTTTAAAACTTTGAAAGCTTCGCACCGAAGAATGAGTCATTACAAAAACGAAGTGCGTCGCGGTACCGCTGCAAGCACGCACCGATCGATAATAACGCCGACGCGGACGCGAAANGGGGAATATAACGCGCCCCTTTCCGAATACGAACAGAGAAAATAATTCGATTAAGCTTTTCTGGATTTGGGAGTAAATCTTAGGAAAGGTGTACTTTTTAAAACTTTGAAAGCTTCGCACCGAAGAATGAGTCATTACAAAAACGAAGTGCGTCGCGGTACCGCTGCAAGCACGCACCGATCGATAATAACGCCGACGCGGACGCGAAAGCTTCAAGTAAACAGATCGAAGCTTTGAAGCGAATGTGCTCCGTATCGAATCCCGCCAAATGCAACGACAGCTGTGCGTAGCGGCGACGGCTACGCGCTACGCGGCTCTACACCGGCGTATTATTATTATTTGTAAACAAGCGTGTGCGGGCGCGGGGCGTCACGTGACCGCGCGCCATTGGCCGCCGCGGCAGCTGCGTGCGGCCGCACGTTACGCGCCAGTCCGCCGCCGACCCTAGTCGCGTACAGACGCGCGTGTTATACCACAAGCGGGACGCAACAGTCACGCGATCGCGAACTTCGATTCCCTTTTTGTTTATTTTTCACTTGCGTCCTTCGATCCGTTTTGTTTTCGTGGCGGCCAAGCAAAGAAACAAAAGGAGGCGGATGGATCGAGTGACCGGAGAAGGTACGGAGTTTGTGCAAAAGTTTAGTGTCGAAGTGCAAGTGTGCAACTGTAGTGAAGTAGAAGAGTAGAAGCTTCTGGTTTAGTGGATTGTTTGTTGTAGTATAGAGGTATATAGAGCGACAGCACTAGAGCGTGAAGCGGACTCCTGTGCGCGTTCGCGTGCTTCCGCTCAAGCTTTCGTTGTGTGCTTTCGCGAATCGATCCCCGTTTTCCTGCTACGCATTTTGTCAAGAGTGCTTTTGTATAGAAGAAGTTGGTTATTGCATCACGTCCGTAGGTATTGTCTCCTGCCAATAGACAAACTCGTAGTTCATAGTTAGACCCGTATCCTTGTGTAGAGTCAAACGCATGACAAGCTATTAAAATTAGTTTGTATGTACTCGTAGAAGTTTATATCTCGTTCAAAAATTCTTCAAAGTTACTTAATTTTGATTGGCGGATAATTCAGAACTACAAATTAGACTTAATTAAATTAATTTGATAGATTGGAGTTTGCCCTTCTTAAAGCAAAGAGCTTTAATAAGCCAATACGGACAAGTTATGACTATAATAATATACAGATGTGTACATTGATTTTATTTTGCTTTTGTTGAATAAGCGGTCTCTATTATGCTGTTAGAATTGTTCATAACGATCTTTAAGCATGGTTATTCTGAGCTCTATATTTATATTTAATTTAAATTGCTTTTGATACGAAGTCCAGTCTAGTGTCTATTAATCGATTGATTTAAATGAAATACTTCACATATCCGTTCTTATCGTAAACTTGATAAAATTCTAAAGGTTTGGACTTTAGGTAGAGACACGTTTTCTTTCGTTTCTTGTAGAGTCTACAAATGAAGTAAAATTAAAAAAAAACGTTTCTTTTAGTAACTATTAAATCGGCAGCAAAGTTAACTGCTGCCAATTTATTTGCGTGGCAGGAAAACGGAAAAAGCACAAAACGCATGGAGTGACGCATGTCCCTTCCTACCATTGTGACCAGTGCATGATGTCACTTAGACCTTAATTGCAGCAAAATGAAAAAAAAAACAACAATCGACCTTACGTTCCAATTTTATTGTGCTTATAGTATTTTTTGACTCAAGAGTATTGTCATGTAATTAATATATTAGTTAAAATTAAAATATAATTTAAATCAAATGCCGCAACATTCCTAGTTCTATTAGCTTGCTTCTATGCTATGCTTATGCACAGTGGTTGTCTGGAAGTGATCGCTGTCAACACCTATATACAAGTCGACGTGCTTTATGTTACTTTTGCTTGTCAGAAATAAGGATAGCCCAAAGGCTTTTTAGCTTGGATGCTGCAATCCAGTTTGAGACGTGCTATCGGTGTCTAGAAGGCGAAGATTTTTCTATAGAAATAGGCTATCTAACGACCAAAAGTGGAAGTAAGCAGTATAGATGGTAATTACTAGGTAATGCCTAGTGAATACTGAAGGAGGCGTAGTTAGCACTAGTAACACAGTTCAGAGTTGGAAATTCTTCTGATTATTAATATAATGAACTATTACTTATTATATATAACTACAGCTATATTATTACGTGAGGTCCTTTGTTTCTGTTTTTTTTAAAACAGATATTTCTGTCTCAAAACATTTGTGCATCTGGCCTTAATGGAAGGGTAGCCGTGCCACTATTTACAATATGATTAAGTCCTCAGATCTCAAATTTGAAGGACTTCGGATTTTGACTCCCAACTAATAGGCTACTATTAGTTTGAATACAGCATCGGTATCGCAGGATCCGACTGATGCATGAACACGACCACTCTGTCAAGAGTGTACGAATAGGAAGAGTTTGAATGCGATTCTTGTGCAAAATGCAAATCCTATGTTGCTCTATATCTTAATTTGATACCAAAAACATAGAAATCAGTGAAAAAAGACGATTGAAAGATATTTTGCAGAATTACGTAGATTCATTTTATATATTAATTATAGGAAAAAAAGATGTGTGGTATCGTGAGACACCGGATAGGAACGAAGTTTCTTATTATAAAAATATTAATTTTAAGTTCCATTCGAGGTATAAAGAAAATAAAACTGGAGGTTTCGCTACAACCCACGGTCATTCGGGAACGCGCGAACTTATTGTGGTACACTTCATTCACGGTTGTTTGCATAAAAGTTAGTGTATTGCGCAAACGAACGCTCTGAGATCGTGGTTAATGAATGATAAGAAAATAAGTTTTTTTGTACGTTGTTACAAAGTTAAGTCTTACACTGTGTGCATTACTAATTTGTACGTTATTACAAAGTTAAGTCGTACACTGTGTACATTACTAATAATAATCTTACGTTACGGACGTTTTTTCCCGGTTAGGGTGCTCCTACGCATCGTCCCATAAGGAACTACGTTCCAAAATGTACTAATGTAATTTTTGTGGTATGTACATGTGCAATCGAACAGCTTGTACAAGACAATCCGGTCCCACGGAATAATCGAATTAATGATACGCCTTCCTCCCGTGAATGCGATAATGGGGAGTCAAGTTCAGCGAGGCCAATGAAAACAAATAAACAAATTGGTCAATTTCGCCGCAGCCGCCGCTCGCGGCTGGCGTGCGGATTGTGCAACTTCATATATACATCCTTTTTAGTTGACAAGTTATGTTTCCTTTTCTATTTGGGAGGATACTCTGGATGCTTGTCGGTGCACTCGTTAGGACCGAGCTGGTGGTCGCTTCGGTAACATCTAAAGTATTTTTTTTAAATAGGTGCTTTAAGTAGAGGAACTTTGGATACGCTTGATGCTTAGTGGTGACTGGAGTCTCAAATTGTTCAACCGCGACACGAATATTAGATTAGGTAGTGTCAAAAATAGGCACGATGGTGGTCTCTATCCGTACGGGTTTCCAACACGTCCTACGACGTACAGAAATAGCTGTAGATCTTCTATCTTTCTTTTAGAACTATATTCAGTTAGTCTGATAATAGTCATAGATTTAAAAATATATAGATGTATAAAGAGTAGTTAATAAAAATAAAACAATTTTTTTTCATTTTTTATTGCTTAGTTCATGAAATAGTCATCTATAACGTAAATGCGCCACCCATCTTGAGATATAAGTTCTAAGGTCTCAATATGGTTACAACGCCTGCCCCACCCTTCAAACCGAAACGCGTTACTGCTTCACGGCAGAAATAGGCAGGGTGGTGCTACCTACCCGTACGCACTCACAAGAGGTCCTACCACCAATAATCACGCAAATTATAATTTTGCGGGTTTGATTTTTATGACACGATGTTATTCCTTTACCGTGGAACTCAATCGTGAAATTTAGTTAAGTACGTATTTCATTAGAAAAATTGGTACCCACCCATCTGCGGGATTCGAACACCGTTGCATCGCTAGATACGAATGCACAGGACGTCTTATCCTTTGGGCCACGACGATTTTAAAACTAACAAACATGTAAGACAAACTAACTAATTACCAATTACTAATAACGTAATAACTACGGTGTAATTCATCGTCCGTTATGCTAAATTCGTAAGTCTTCTTCTCTGTCGTTTCCTCATTACTGAGGGTCGTGACCACCTTGGTCCAGTTTTTGCACCAGCTTCCTCCAATGCTGCCTGCATTCGGCCTGCTTAAATTCGTAAGTACATAACAACAATCCTATCGTCCGCGGCCACAAAAATTGTAGAGCTTTGGAAACATCGGAAGTATTATATTATAATAGTTTTAATTATTTCACAAAGAAAATACAAAAAAAATATATAATATATATCTTTACAAGTATTGTTTTCGTAAAGTCTAAGCCGGCATGAAGCTCCCACGCGGACAACTTTCAATCTCTCGATTATTGCCACAAGTAATATTATAAGTTGATTCGTACATTCTATGTAGGATAATCCGTATCTTATTGCTCCTCGGCAGACGTTCGTTCGCTTTTCAGATCGTTTTTTGGGGCTTCATTGCGAAGAATTTAAATAATCCGCGACTCTGTGTGATGTCAGGTTTTTAAATGTTGCTACTAAGTGTTTGGTGAAAATGTCGAGGGAAACATTCACATCACTAAGTCGCTTAGATTTATTTAGGGGTTTATTAGAGGTCGAAATGATAAGTGTCATCGTGATGCCTGTTTTTGCCGCGAACCAGTCGTATATATTTTTTTAATTGCCTTTGTAGGCAGAAGAGTATACGGCCCACCTGATGGTAAGTGGTTACCGTCGCTCATGGACGTCAGCAATGTCAGGGGCACAGCCAAGTCAACAAAGACTATTCTTCCAATTTATTTAATTATTTATAACTTTATATACTAGACAGTACAAAGGCGGACTTAATACCATAGGCATTCTCTAACAGTCTACCTTAGGGGGGTGCAGAGATGAACCTTAGTAGGTGTAGTGTGATAGTGATATTACCTAAACATATGACATACATAATATTTATAGATACAAATACTTAATGAATATCCGTTGAGCAATATATTTGAGGATTTCAGCTGGTGTTTTGTTTTTTTTGCCCTTGTAGGCAGACGAGCATACGGCCCACCTGATGATGAGTGGTTACCGTCGCCCATAGACTTTAGCAATGCCAGGGGTAGAGCCAAGCCATTTCCTGCCGCGGCTTGGCTCTTGGCTCGAGTCTCAAGATAAAGACATTTACATTATTAGAATAAGGATTTTACACGTGGCGGACTATGGTCTCATCCCGTCTGAGCTAATAAATAATACGTATTTACAAAATTACAACGATTACACGATTATATGATGAACAACTAACCGATATTTAGAAGATTTTTCAACAATATAAATCCTCGAGTATTGCCAGCTTTGAAAAATGAAGTTTTATTGGAAATACGAACGTTCACCGGCTAGACTGGGACTTATGAAATATCTTCAAGGGGAATTTCATGAAACTTTTCTATACACAGACCGACCGATCTTTTTGTTGTGCTAGACCGGAGATTCCGACTGCTGGATTTTTAGTTTGCGAAGTTATTAACAGGAAGGCCCGTTGTTGCATGGAATGTTCTATCTTTGAAAG